GAGAAGAACAGGAAGAATGACCTTATTAGCTATACATAAGTCATGTGATCTCTGAGGTCGTCTGCATTGTTTGTTTACATTAGCTATGCATAAGTCACGTGATCTCTGATGTCATCGGAATGTATCTCATTAAACGTAATGACGGGATCCGAAAATAATAAAAGGTTATTTAAATTATTTTTTTACCTTAATATATAACTTTATAAAGCAGATAATAATAAATTTAAGATAAATGTAACAGGATTTATTTAAAAAAGCATGATATTTGTTTATATTACATCTCAATTGCAATTATAGAAATTTTTATTAAGAAACTGACTATTTTCCTGCTCAATTAGAGCTAATAAAAATAGTAAATGAGTTAGTTTTATTATAGCTGAAATAAAATGAGAAGTGAAAATTAATTTTTAGTTCCTTTCAAAGCACAATAATCAATAAAACTAAATTTAATTTCCAAAATAAATTTATGAATCTGTTTTGTTGATTTCCGTGTATTCGTTTTTAAAAATCTAAAGGAGGAAAGAACGGATTTCCTACACATATTCTTATCAAAAAATATCTCTGTAGATGAATTATTATGGATTTTATTCGTCCAAAATTAAAATGCTTTTAAAATTTTTATTAAAGATAGTTTTTGAAGGGAAAGAATTCAAAATGCAATTCTAGAGCTTTCTTCAGTTTCGGTTATGTGCAAAATTCATATTATAAAGAAAAATGATGACATATAAATTTTCTAAAATTATTAGATTTTTGTAAAATCTGCACAATTTTATTTTAACTGCTTATGGTCATAAAAAAATAAAAAAAAAATAGAATTTGTAGTTTTTTCAATACGAAACTCTTGACAGAACTAAAGAAATTTGAAGAATAAACACGTAACACATTAATAATAACACATTTCAGAAACGTGCTTGTTTTACAGACATAGATTTAAAGCAATATTGCATTTTCATTTCGAAATGCAAATCACATTTAAATGTAAATTATTCAGTACCCATTTTACCAATTCATTCTTTAAAAGAAAATCAGTTCCCTTCCAGTATTGCTAAATACTTTCTCTGTTACTAAAAATCTCAAAGAATTTAGATCTTTATAATGTATTTATTTTCTTGGTCTGAGGTATAGTAAACTAAAGACTAAATATACGCATATTTTGAAATAAACAAATCAATAAGTTAACAGCTAAGATAAGAAAAACAATGGATTTGCAAATTTAGACACTCTTGCCAAATATTAATATTACATCAGACTAAGTTGCACTTCCTAAGTGGCATGTTTTGCATTTTAACGGTAAATATTAAGCGCGTATAAATTACAGACAAATTTATACTCTTTTAATATTTAAAATAATGATTTTTTGATTTGCTAAATGCTCTTAAAATATGCGCAGATTTTAGGTTAACTACCGCTAAAATTATTTTATCGTATGCATCCGTTTATGATTATATGAATAAATATGCTTCTACTAGATGCATAAGACTAAAAACATTTTTTTTAAAATGCCTTATTACATTAATAGCAGTTTTTTTTTTAATCAAATGTGCACATCACCTGTGTTTCTTGAACTGAGCAAACTTCACAAACTGGGTTATAGTTTTTACATAAACAATATTTCTAATCAGAAATTAGCGTGCATAATCTATTTTATTTCGAAATGTTACACTGCCCAGGCAATGAATTAGAAATCTTGATGTAAAGGAACACAGCCATCATTCATGTCGTATAAATGAAAAGTGCTTGATGATGTATGTTTTCACATGATCTTCGCTTCCTTTTAAAACTATTCTAAAGCAGTAAATGTCGATATACGACGAAGTATTGCCAGCAAATTTTTAAAAAATAATTGTAGAGAGGGTATTGGAAAAGCAATTTGTAATTTCACACATTTGTTGAATTTGTATACGAAACATTTACCTGACACAATTACTTAATTGCCAAAGATTCATGTGCATTTAAAGATGGTGCTACAGTTCTCCACTTTGTTTCAGCTATGTAGGATTTCATGAATATCATTATAGAAGCCTCACGACAGAAGAAAATGCAAAATGTATTGATAGCTTGCATCCAACTTTCTTACATAAATAAGTAAGGAAATTATTCAAAATACAAATAATAATTTGTTTATATGTGAATACTTTATACTTTCCTACTCTGCAAGCGGACAAGGAGCAATAAAATATATGAGACTACAGGAAATGAAAAAAATACTATGTAGATACTTGATGATATCAAGAAGAACTTCATTTCATTTAAGACGACAGGTTCTGAGAACTTCGTTCATTTAAGCTAAAGTAAAAGTTACTAGGGCAACTGAATCGTTTTGTGGACGCTAAATTCAGACTTGAAACTATGACTTGAAACTTGAATTCTAGAAAACTGCGAAAGAAAATTAAGTATAGTGTTTAGAATTTTACCAATATTTAAGCAATGAAAATCGTGTATAATTCGTCTCAGAACGTTATCATTCATACCATCAGACGATAACTTGACAATTCTCTTTTTCAAGTACCATGATTGGTCTAGAGGCCTACAGTCTGTCTAGCATAAAAAAAAGCTCTCGCCAATTAGTCTGAAGCTCTCTGTTCTTGTAGAAACGAGCTTTAACCCATTTTCCGTAGGGGTGACTTGAGGAAAATGGTAAACTCTTTTCCCCTCAGCCAACAGTCGCCAAAAACAAAATAACAATAAAGCAACTCTTGGTACTACCCTATTTGAAATATATTAGCCCTGCTGCCATAACGACAGCCACCCGCCAGGTACTGCGGTGGGGGGGGGCTCTTCTTCTCGTAGACAGACAGTAGAGTAAGAAGGTGAATACAAGCTGATCGACCATTCTGAGAATTTTTTGTATGAATCATGATCTAAGATCAATCAAACAAAATCTGTTAACAAATTTATAGCGAGAACCTATCATGATGAAATTACTGCTTTAAAAACTGCGAAGTTGACAGGATTCACGTAAAAGACCTGCGAAATATTTAGTGCTTGTAAAAATGACGCACATTAATTGGATAAGAGTAGTAACTATTTTTTCCAAAATTAGTACGCCACGAATGAGACAGACATCCTATGATGAGGCTTCTGAAGAACAAATTTTAAAAAATGAAGTTACAGATTTCTGCAAAGGAAAAAAAATTTTTTTTTCACTGATACAAGAAAGGACGTCACTCAACAAACGTCACGTAGTCAAAAAATCGACTACGTGATCGATTTTTAGAAAAAGCATCCTCAATTTAAGATTGGACTGTTATGAACAACCAGCATGCCAGACCGGAAAAAAATATTCAGATGAGGAATTGCTTAGTTTGTTTAAAATGGCAGTTTCTTTAAATTTTTAAATGCCAGTCAATGCCAGTTTCTTTAAAATATGCAGTTGTGAGGAACCTGTTTATGTTATTTCGGAATATGTCACACTTACTCCGAAAGTAAGCAAAGACTAGCGACAACTTCATATGAAGCAGTGTATGCAGTTCCTCCGATGTTTGATGTCTAAAAGTTTGAGGAGGTATTCCAATAAGTTCTTTCAACAGGGAATATGCCCATTATTGTTGCTAGAAAATACTATAAACCCACATGTAACTATTGTAGCGCATAACTCCGTTCTGAAACAGCACATTTTTATCCAGAAAGACTTGATGTTTCGTGAACAACCACAGTCCTTTTCATCGTGTAAATTTGTACAGAACTCCTTCAATTCAAGGAATGATTGACTCAGGTACCTAATTTTTGAATCTTCATAGGAGGCTTAATAGTTTAGAGTCTGATCCTTGTAAAGAACGTATGACAAATGTTGGAAAAAGAGATCCTTGGTTCTAACATTCAGTTCATACAGAACAGAAGAGGTTCAGTAGTTACAAACCTCACTGATTTAATGCTAAATCTATTAACTACTTTTAAGGTTTTAGATCTATGTGGAAATTTAAAAAAATTATTCCCATAACAGCGAACATAACAGCTGGCATGCGAACTAAAGGGGACCAACTTGATACTGAATAAAAGTTGCAAGGTTTATCCTAAGTTTATAATAGTTATTTTTAACTTAAAGCTTCTTTCCTACCTCTCCTAATTTCGGTTTACAATTTCCTACCAGAATGAGGTTTTAGAATTACGTTTAATGCAAATGAGAAGGAGTAAAGTATTGAAGTCGACGTTTCAGTGACCTCGAAAGAGAGAATCAGAATTTCTGACTAGCACGCTTTTGCCTTTTGGCCACGTCTCTCTAATCTGTTACTACGCTAGGCCGTGTTACGTGCCCTTGATAGCTTCGTTAGCTAAACCGATATTCGCTAGCTAAATAAATATATAGGGGCCAACTGGTTTAGATCTGTGTTAGCTTCGGATAAATCTCTTTTAGTTAGTCAAGTTCTTATTTCTTACACATTTGAGTTTGAGCCCAAGTGGAGGCTTTGCTGTACGTCCTGAGAAAGGGGCCGTTTTTACATATTTAGTTTGAGCAATAAAGGGTACTTAACCCTTCTTGAGTTTTACTTTTCTGTTGCTGGATTTAAGCAATTATTTGCTTAGTAGTTCACTAGATTCTTCCACACTTATTTAATAGATAATAGGAAGGAAAACTAAAAGGTTTCTAATTCAGTGGCAGGGCATTGCCGTTCCTGAGAATAAAAATGGAAATTTTATTTCCGCTACGGTTCCAAGAGTTTGAAAATTATTTCTTTGCAAAGCCAGCTTTTTGATTCTTTCAAAAGGTAACAAATTAATGACAACAAGCATAGCAGATCAAACAATTTTCAATAAATAATTAGTTGTTTAACGTTTATTTTCACGCTTCTGACCATAAAAGAAAAGGTCTGAAATGTAGGACGTTAATTACCTCTTTGATATCTAGCGAGAAGCTAAAAATTAAAATGGAATGCCAAAATGCAGATAGATAGTTATATGCGCGTTAAGAAGCACGATTCATTTTTAGAAAGAGCAGCCTCAATTTAAGATTGGACTGTTATGAACAACTAGCATGCCAGACCGGGAGAAAAAAAAAAAAAAAAAAAAAAAAAAAAAAAAAAACTTTCAGATGATGAATTGCTTAGTGTTTAGTTAATGCCAGTTTCTTCAAAATACGCAATTGTGAGGAACCTGTTTATGTTATTAAATTAAATCTTTATTTTGTCGATTCTTCGGAACTCATTTAAATAAATTAAATTCTTATTTTGTCGATTCTTTGGAATTCATTTAAATGACTTATACTTTAAAAAGATCAAAGACTATTAAAAGGACTTTTACTTAAATATAAATCTAGAAAGCCAGTGCTCGAAATGAATAATAATGTTTTATAATGGGAGTAAGAAATATGTTACGAGTGGATGGAATTTCACAGCGAATTAGAGTACGGTGTTTTGAATGATTATTTTTTTAATGCCACCTGAAATAGATGAAGTTGAATAAATAAGTTAACATTTTAGTCTTTTAGGAATTTTTTACGAATACAGTATTGTTATGTTGCGAAGGTAAGTGAAGCAGAATTATAATATTTTCTCTAAAATTAATAAATATTTTCGTTCAATTACATCTGGTCAAATACAAATTGCAATTCGAAAACTCAAAGTATCAATAATCTAGGCGTAATTCTTCTTACTGCTTTAGAACATAGTCAGGAACAATTACAGTTGTTTTCTTCTCTAATAATATTGGCCTGTTAAATGAGTTTTATGGTAAAAATATGTATCCATTTTTAATAATTATCCATTGATCTACGCTCATTTAAAGACTGCTGTAATTTAAAAAAAATTGCGATGCACTGTGATGTATCACCAAAAGTGCCCATAAAGTCTTCTCCTTTTATAAATGAAATTTTCCCATCGTCGTCGAATCATTGTTTTCTCTCTCAGAAAGTTCAGAGATTTCAGACAACAATGCATCTTACACTCACGAAGAATATTTTGCAAGAAGCAGTTTCCATAATAATTCTCAGGATCAAATATCCCCCCTAAATGGAATTAGGGATACTTCATAGAAATTTGTTTGCGAATAAATATATCGTAGAGAAAACGAAGAGAATTTCTCATTCTTCGAAAGCACGAAAAAGTTCTTCCACACATTAATTAGTTTTCAGACGAAGTTTCAAACATCTGGCAATAGATGGCAGCACCGGTAGAAAGAATGTGAAGTCATTTCCCACGAAGGTAAGTAGCAGTAATTTTATTTTCAGTCGGAACAACACACGAGGAGAAAAAAGAAAGCAGTTTATAAAATTTCTCCAGGAATTGTGATTCGATAGCCAGCAGTCGTATATAACATTCTCAAAGTGCCCAGCTTTTGTCAACTTCAGATGTCCTTTTAGCGAAATTCAGCATTCAATTCTCTACAACCAAGTTTAGTATAGCAATACTGACAGAACAGCTTTCGTCACCCATAGAAGTAGAAGCAAATCGACCTGGGATGCACAGGTGTCTGGAAAAGAATATAAAAATATATTTAGTAAATTTAAATTATAATTGGCTATTAAATATACTTTCCAAAGCTACAAATATTAATGATTCATGAATAAATATAACGCTGTTAGTGGAATAGACGTTAATATATATATAAATGAATAAACAAATTTGAATTAAAAAATAATGCAAAATGTCGTTTCGAGACTTCTGGGCTAACAATCATGAACAATCAACATAAAGCATTGTGCGAATACTACGTTTATCGTTGTGTGGGGAGGGTACAGAAATTTTAACTATTCATGTGTGACTATTTAAATACATTTATCATATACACTGTCTCAGTACGAGGTGAAGCACATCTAGGTGTTAGTAAAAGGACTTATGTTATACTGCTGGCTACAAAAAAATAGTATATTTTTTCAAAATTTCTGAAAAAGCTGGTTTTTTTTATTAAAATATTATTAGTCCGAAGGGGTAATTTGCCCAGAAGGACTTAATGAAGGATTCAAAACAAAAGAAAAAATCGAAATTATTAATAGCTAGACCTCAAGGGTTCAAAATAAAAGTAAAAAATCGAAATTATTATTATCCATAACTCAATAAAGGATTCAAAACAAAAGAAAAAATTGAAATTTTTAATAGCTTGATCTCAACAAAGTGTTCAAAATAAAAGTAAAAAATCGAAATTATTAATACCTAGAATTCAACAGAGGGTTCAAAACAAAAGTAAAGATCGAAGTTATTATCCATAGCTCGAACTCAACAAAGGGTTCAAAACAAAAGTAAAAATCGAAATTATTAATAGTTAGAACTCAACAAATTTTCAAAACAAAAGCAAAACTCGAAACTATTAATATCTAAAACTCAATAAAGGGTTCGAAACAAAAGTAAAAATCGAAAGTAAGTAAAAATCGAAATTCGGTTTGGCATTTCACGTCGATTCACCAAAAGCGTTGTTTCACTTTTCAAATTGTTGCCACCAAATATTATCACCCTGTCTTATATTTGAAGAAATTAAATAATGAAGAAGCTGCATATATGTATGTATGTTTCTCGCATTGTGACAAAACAATGGTATTTGAGCCATCAAATTTTTAATAATTTAATTTTTCACCGAATATGGGTATCTGGTAACCCTAATTTGGAATTTGGAATTTGTTTTATGATCGATTTCATATTTTGTAAAACTTTAACGAATTTTGGATTAACAAATTCAAGTATTTGAAAACGAGCAATGGCAACGTTGTAAAGTAAAAACATTTTTATCTCCAATTTTCCAGACTGCATATCCGAAATTCGGTACTATTCGGTTTCGATGGCCGTAAAAAAATTGCAGCGAAAATGTAAGCTCAAAAGCGCCAAATCTAGCAAACGCGCCCATTTAACAGCGCGCCAAATCTAGCGTACGCGTGGATTTCAGAGCATAGTTTATATAGTTTATTTCTTAAGACGCCATGAACTACTAGTTTAATTTTTAAATCCTTTTTTTTTTAAATCCTTTTTTGATATTCCATGGATTTAACAATTTGGGAATTGTCCATGGCGAAAAGTCGGCAATAGAATTTTGGGTAAAGAGCAGAATAACCCACTGCTTGACGCGTTTTTAAGAATTGCACATATTCGGTAACCATGTGCACATCGATCTATTTTCACTTAAAAACAAATCCTAGAATTGCTAAAAATGGCACTGCGCACATCCTTGACTTTATCTATGTACACATCGACCTATTTTCACTTAAAAAATAAAAGAAAATTAACAAAAATCCAATTGTTTTTACCCTTGTAAAAAGCGGCGAACAAATAAGTGAGCGATTCTGCACTTTACAGAGAATATGTTCAAAGAAAAGTCATCATTCATTATAGAAAATTACGTTTGAACAACCAACGAGATGAAATTATGCTTTAGTGATTATATAAATTATAATAATGATCTGAAATAGTTATTTACTCTTATGCTTCCATTCAGTCATGTTTAGCCTTTTTCATATAAATTACTATAGTAGAAAAAAGTATTATATGAAATTAACCTTTCATCTAAATTAAAACATCAATCTTAAATAGTTATTTACTATTATACTTCCTTTCTTGCTGCAATTGTTAGGGTTGCCGCAATTAGTTTTGGCAGCATTGGCATCAACAATATTATGGCGATTTTTTACGACCCTCGAAACCGTATAGTATCGAATGTAATAATAAATCGACAGTATTATTAATATCTAGAACTAGACAGAGGGTTCAAAACAAAAGTAAAAATCGAAATTATTGATAGATAAAACTCGACAAAGGTTTCAAAACAAAAGCAAAAATTGAAACTATTAATATCTAAAACTCGATAAAGGTTTCGAAACAAAACAATCGAAATTTTTAATATCAAAACTTAATAAAGGATTCAAAACAAAAGAAAAAAATCGAAATTATTAATAGCTAGACCTCAAGGGTTCAAAATAAAAGTAAAAAATCGAAATTATTATTATCCATAACTCAATAAAGGATTCAAAACAAAAGAAAAAATTGAAATTTTTAATAGCTTGATCTCAACAAAGTGTTCAAAATAAAAGTAAAAAATCGAAATTATTAATACCTAGAACTCAACAGAGGGTTCAAAACAAAAGTAAAGATCGAAGTTATTATCCATAGCTCGAACTCAACAAAGGGTTCAAAGCAAAAGTAAAAATAGAAATTATTAATAGTTAGAACTCAACAAATTTTCAAAACAAAAGCAAAACTTGAAACTATTAATATCTAAAACTCAATAAAAGGTTCGAAACAAAAGTAAAAATCGAAAGTATTGTATGCGCAAAAGCGCCTAAACTAGCAAACGCGCCGATTTAACAACGTGCCAAATCTAGCGTACATGCTGATTTCAAATTGCGTAAAGAGATCGTTTAAGACTTAAGACGCTATTAAATACTAATTTAATCCTTTTAAAATTTAATCCTTTTGGTATCCTATGGATTTAACATGACCTTATCTATGTACATCGACCTATTTTTAAAAAAGTAAAGAGAATTAACAAAAAATCTAATTGTTTTACCTTGTAAAAGCGGCAAACAAATAAGTGAGCGATTCTGCACTTTACCGAGAATATTTTCAAAGAAAAGTCATCATTCATTATAGAAAATTACATTTCAACAACGAACGAGATGAAATTATGAATTAGTGATAAGTCGGTAGCGAAATAGCGATGCAGGCATCCATTCAGTTATGTTTAGCCATTTTTATATAAATTAATAATGATCTGAAATAGTTATTTACTCTTATGCTTCCATTCAGTCATGTTTAGCCTTTTTCATATAAATTATAATAATAAAAATGTATTATGAAATTAACCTTTCATCTAAAATTAAAACATCAATCTTAGATAGTTATTTACTATTATACTTCCTTTCTTCCTGCAATTATTAGGGTTGCCGCAATTATTTTTGGTAGCATTGGCATCAACAATAGTTTGGCGATTTTTTACGGCCCTCGAAACCGAATAGTACCCGAAATTCTAAAGATATGCTCATTTCAAAATTATTTTGCGATATTGCTGTTGAACTGAATTTTATGGTTTAAGTGCGGGAACATGATATTTAAAAATTAGTAAAATGTATTTATTTAATGAAAAAGCTCCTTCAGTAGATTTCTGCTGCAAAATAATTTGTTTATTGAAGACAAAATTGGTAAGTAAGTAATATTTTAGAAAAGAAAAACTACGCATTATTTAATTAAGTTATGTGCAAGGAAAAACAATTTACTTAATTAATATTTAACTTAATGTGCTTTACTTAATGAAAACATCTTTTTAAATACATTCACTTACATAGCATAGTAAAGAAATCTTAGTGAAAAGTGCTTTTGAAATCGATCTAACAAAAGGTTATGTTAGTAACTGAAGTTTAATAACATTTTAAGAAAGAAACTAGATGCAAATTAACAAAAAACAAAATTAAATGTTACAAAATACATTACTTTATTCAAACAGTTTACTTATTTTTAAGAAAATAATGATTTGTATAAAAACTTGTCAGACGCCATTTGTGCAGCATCAAAATTGAAAGTTCTAAGTAACAAAGTGAAATAATTGTAATTCTGCTAAGTAACCTGTTACTTTTAACAAACGATTTTTGATGCCGCCATAAAAAGTTCAAGTTTTTTTTTCTTTTCCCTTTGCAGTCCCGCCTAAATAAATCCACACTAGCCTTTATTAAACTTTTCTCATTTTCATTCTCGCAAATTCAAGTCTTCATTTCTTTTTGGCGGATGTCATTAATTTTCTAATTTTTTGGCAATGAAGTAATCAGGAAAAATACGGAGAAAAGGAAATGAACGAAATCAGACAGATAGAGGAAATGAAGTAATTACGGCAGGTGACGAATAGTGGAGTTATCTGTTTTAATTAAAAAAAAAAAAAAAACGTCGCTGTACACGTCGCAAAGAATAAAATTATTATTTGTTGAAATCCCAACAAAATCGCTTTTACGTCCAACATTCTACTTACTATGCGTTTTGTAACCAGACATGACGTTTTTGTATAAAGCTTACAAAAATGATCGAAAAATTCTTATTAGTTTATTTATGCAAATAAATAAACTAAATTAAAGAGAAGATAAATAACAATGGGAGAAGGATTTTCATCTTACACATACAGTGAACTTAGTTATTCGAAATGCAGTGATGCCATTGTTACTTTTTCATGTTTTTATTTTGTCTTATCTAGTGGTTTAGGTTAAAACAACATGCCGAATAATTATTATTGGAGAAGACACACAGCAAGATCCAGCGTAATATTTGTAAATTATACAAGACTAATTTCGATGATTTAACAACAGAACCATCTGCCACAGTTGTCTAAGTTCAAACGAATGGGATAGGATAAGCAAAATCTAGTCCTAGCATGGTTTATGCTTCACGCATGCGCAATTACAAGCTTGGTTGCCGTTAATGGCCGGCGTCCATTATACAAAACTGGCGATGTATCATGAGATTGGCAACTAAAGACATGTTTTTATTCCACTAAATTTTGTCCCGTTG